CATTGGCAAAGGGGGGTTGCCATAAGGCATTTGACCTCCCCTTCTCTCAAATCGTTGCATTTGAATCTCCTCTGGCTGGTAAATAAAGTGTGGCTCTGGCTGGTCGCCTTGATAACCTTGCAATCTGTACGGCGGCGGTGGGTATTGCTGAAACTGTTCGAGATTTCCTCTTGCGAACACATGTTCCGGCTGATGTGAATTGGCCCTAGCATAGGGCGCACCTCTTTCCCCTCTGGCTGTCCATGGTGGCATTTGCAACGGGTATCCTGGTTCATTGCTTCTCCTTGTGAATTCCTCCCTCTGTCCTTCCTCTCGAGCTCTCCCTTGTTCTCCTCGCTGTTGTTCCCTTCTCCAGTTACGATCTGCTCGAGAGGGGGCTACTGACCCTCTCGGACCTCTAGAGGTACTGGCGTGACTTTGATGTTGTTGGGGGTTTTCGCCTCCTCCCCTGGCTTTCGTTTGTCTGTGCACGTGTGACTGGTTTTGTCTTTGCTGTCCTTCTCCTTCGTCATTCTCCCTTGCTTCATGTTCCTAACTCTGTAGGTATTCAATTTGACGAAATCTCTCCTTGTGTCCTCCTTGGCGAGCTCCCCCCTGCCTTGACCGTTGCTCCTCTTGTCTGATCCTCGGGCAATTTTCCTCTGTGTGGAAACACCACTTACATCTCCCGCACCAATCTGTGTATGTAGACACCACTTCCACCTTCCATACTTCCCCTTTTGGCAATTCAATAATTATCTCATCTTCTATCCGATGCCTTGCTTCCAGTGGCATGTTTATCTTTAAATTCATTAGTTTTGGTCGGGATGGATCAAATTCTGGTGGGTGCACTTGGATCACATCACCAAACATGCCTCGTATTGCTATCTTTAGATAGTAATAGGCTTCTAGAGGTACACGTAGAGCCATGATCCAGAAGTTGGTCTCAGCCTCCTGTAGTCGCAGCATCTTCAATTCTTGTTTGGGCATCCAAGGCTTGAAGACAGCAGCTTACTCTTCTCTACCTAGCTTGAGTTTTGCTTCTTTCTTCCTCAACATCCACTCCACCACGTCTTTCGACTTCGCAACGTACGAGACCACTTTTGGTCCTTCGAAGCAGATTCTTCCTCTGCGTAGGTCTGGGTTGAAGAGCCTTGCCGTTGTCCACCCATCTTCGTATGCCCTGACGAGGTTTTCCTTCACTCCTCTAGAGAGTTTCCTTGCCTCTCCTTGGAACACGATTATTGTCGTTCAATCCTTTAACCATTGTTCCTTAATGTCATCTACTGCTTGATTCACCACGAACCGTCTCCCTGCTTCATCCTCCACTATTTCCCCCAGATCGATATCGTTTGGGCACACACCTTCGTCATAACATCTTTCCACCGAGTTCCATACCCTAGCTTCCTCTGTCCTTGGATTCGGTGGGATCAGAGGTTGATACCTTTCTGATCGGCCCGGGGGCCTCTGGCTTGCCATTGCCTTACTTTTCGCAGCCCACTCCACTCCTCTTCACGGTAAATTCCTTACGATTGACGAGAGACAGCACTCTCGTCAATCGGGGTATTCTGCTGGATATGGCTCCTATTGCCGCTTATGAGGATCGATTCTACCTCGTGGGAGAGATTTATGTTAAATACTTGTGGTGTGTTTGATTGCCTCTTGCGGGCATACAACTCTGATTTGCTTCTCCTTATTCTCCGGTGAGTATAATTCCTCTTGCATCAAATTGCATCAAATTACATCAACTTCCCCATGGTCCCCAAGGGTAAGACTCGTCGAAGGGCTTACACAGGTCATTTGTCTCGATCCATTTAAATTCTAGCGGAGGAGAGGCTGAATTAGCTCCGGATCCTCGCCAGAGCATGGGGAAGCAGTCAACGTGTCGTGTTCCTCCACGCACCCTACTCCTCTAACTCACCACACAGTCAGCGTTGTCGAGCGGGGATCCCCGGGGGCAAAGCCGGTGTGAGGCTGTGGCCCCCGGACCCCCGCCGCGGGGGCCATCTAACCCCGCCACCGCCGGACGACCCCCGCCGCCGCCCAGCCTCGGGTACCCCGCCGCCTAACCCCGCAGGCCCGCCCCCGCAACCCCGCCCCCGCATCGACCCCGCACCGCACTCCCGCCACCGCGACCCCGCCCGGGGAAGAACCCCGCCCCCGCAACCCTGCCACTCCAACCCCACCACCAGAACCCCGCACCTGCAGTGCCTACCCCGCCAGCAACCCCGCACCCCCACGCCCCGACCACCGACCCCCGCTGGGCGAACCCCGACCCCGGGTCCCCGCCACCGCCACCGACCCCGCAGCCCATCCCCTGGCGTTTGGGAGGGAACCCCGCCGCCCCGCTTCCCAACCACCG